TACAGGGGCGGGCCCTTTTCAGCAGGCCACCTTCTTCTGGATCTACAAACTGGCCTCAGAACTTAGGCCTGTTTTCCAGGCCTGGCGTTTTAGATCAACCACTCAAGCTACGGAGAATTAAAGAAACATGAGAGGGTTCAAAGCAAGCATTTTCTTCCTAATTCATCTCAGCAATGCTACAGATCGTGTCATGAAGGCTCCTGCCTCTTTAAGGTACCATGTCATGGCAGGCATCGAAACATACATGACTTGTAAATGTTTATGCTCATGGTAAGAATGAACAACTTTCACTCATGCACACTTCAAACAGGAGTCTGATATTTGCGAGTAAATAGAATAGAAGGATGTAAAAACAATCTTTTAAGATTACAAGTTTGATCAAATAATCATTTTTGAGAATTTGTTCTATTTTATGACTATCTTCACTGCAACCTCCAAACAAAAGGATTTTTAAAATACATTTGTGAGAAGCTCTAAAACAGCTCAAGCTAATTGTAGAAAAACAAAAAGCCAAATTTTTAGAAGTCTGCAATGCAAAGACTATAAACTCTGGGCGTAAGAGAGAAACGTGTTTGGGTTCCAACTCTGTCCACAAGTGTATTCTTGTGACTTTGGGGAAAACATAACCTTCTGCTTTCTCATCTGGAAATCTGGGAAGACAATCAGCTTTCCTTTTGAAGGAAGATGCTATGAACTGAATTGGGTTGCCCCCAAACCCCACATTCATATGCTTGGAGATATGGGCCTTTACGGAAATAATTAAGGTTAAATGAGGTCATAAGAATGGAGCTATGATCCCATAGGATCAGGGTCCTTATAAGAGGAAATCTGAGGAGGGTGGGCAGGGTGGGGGAGGTCGGTGAGGGGGAAAGAGATCAACCAAAGAACTTGTATGGATATAAGCATAACCAATGGACACAGACAATGGGGGTGGGGTGGTGGTAGTGGTGGTGAGGACCAGGGCTGGGGGGCAGGGACAGAATGCAAGAGGACAACAGGAAAAGGGGATATAATTTGTAATACTTTCAACAATAAAGATTTTTTAAAAAAAGGGGGGGGGAGATTTGAGAGAGCTTATCCTCTGTCTGTCACTTGAGGACACGTTGAGGGGGTGTCTCCAATCCAGGAGGAGAGCCCTCCCTCCAGACCTTGATATACGGCTTCCTGGCTCCAGCCCTGGGAGAAAACCCCTTTCTGTGGTTTAACCCACCCAGTGCTCATGTTTTGCATTAGCCTCTCAAGCTGACGAGACAGTGGAACTAGAGCCGTCCCTGTGTTTCCCGAGATAAAGAGCTGTGGGGCCCACATACACTCAGTGCTGAGGCGTCCTCCAGGCAGGTGACGTTAACTCTGACCCAGACTGAAAGCCCTTTGCCTTTGTTTGAGATGATCCACAGAGTTGGGAAAAGGAAGGCCAATATTGGGGAAATATCCAAACTTTCTAGAGATAGGTTAAAAGCATGTGTGTGTCCATGTATACATGTAACATATATGTGATGAATATACTTGGTGGTTAAAAACAGGGTTTTTGGAACATGATGGTCTCAGTGTGAATCATGGTCTTGCTGCCTGTTAGCTGTGTGTTTATAGGCAAGTCACCTAAGCTCTCTGAGCTGCAGCTTCTTCATTACCAAAATGGAGAAGAGACAGTAATAGGGCCTGTCTAACGGTATCGATATGAGGATTTCAGCCAATAGTTGTCATGCTCTTAGAACAGGGAGTGATAACAAGAGCTCTCAGAGGGCTCATTTTAACATCATACATGCACATATAGACACACACAAACTGACAGTGGTTTCACCAAAATACGGGAAAAAATAAAACCTAAAGCGGAACATTTCTACATCCTTTGCCTCCACTTCACATAGGTCATACAATCTCCCTGCCCTACCTGACCCTCCAAAAAATTAAACTGCTTAATCTCCCAAATCTCATAATTACTTTGGCCACAGATGCCTGGAAGAGATCAGAAAAAAAAAATAATTAAGAAGCGGAACAAGAGATAAGAGCTACAAAAAGGAGGAAGTATAGAGTAGCTTGAGATTAGAGGGTTTAGCAAATAAATGCTAGATAACACCAATTTACAATTACAGAAAGGGAAAAAGAGTTCCATGTGAAGTCTATCATTTTAATACTGTTATTGCTATCACTCAGAAATAACTTTCCTTTTCACAGTAATGTTCTTCAGGCAGATTTTCTAATACAAGAAAAAGTTATTGTGACAAGAGCCTACAAAGATACTATTTTAAAACCATTCAAACAATTCTCATTTTTTCTCATATAAGATCAAGTATATTTAGGGTTCACCCTGACTGAGTTAACTTTGGCCCAGGGCGCTAATTTTTTTTCTCAGAGGGAATTTTCTCTCCACAGAAATTCAGCACCTGTCATAAATGTAACACAAAATGGGACCATTTCGCTGTGGGAAGGGGCAAATTGGTCTGCCAGCGAGCACAGTGAAGCATATTGACTGATTTGCTATGTGCTGAGACAGTTTCTTTCCTGCTGTTTTCTTCAATCTTAGGGGGATCTTTTATTTTTTAAAGTAGTAAATCTTTTAAAAAAATATATTTTATTGATTTTTTTGATTGTTTTTTACAGAGAGGAAGGGAGAAGGATAGAGAGTGAGAAACATCGATGAGAGAGAAACATCAATCAGCTGCCTCTAGCACACCCCCTACTGGGGATGTGCCTGCAACCGAGGTACATGCCCTTGATGGGAATCGAACTCAGGGCCCTTCAGTTCACAGGCTGATGCTCTATCCACTGAGCAAAACCAGTTAGGGCCTTAGGGGGATCTTTACATTGGGTTATTTTTCACACACTTGGTCATCAACCCAGAAGACTAATTTTGTTTAGAAATAGTTATTTATATGCTATTTTATATGCCTTCTTGATAAGAATGTAAAGATATTTCTTACCACTAAATTATATAACATCAGTCCAGTAACATCAAATTACAAGTGATTTGAGTTTGACCTAAAATTTAGATCCTATCAATTTGACCAACTGTACACCAGCTGTGGTTGAATAAGGCACCACATAGTATATGATAAGTGACAGAATCTTCCGAAGTGATGTTAGATGAAGAAAAATATCAACTGCTGGACTATATTAACAGACCCAGTCACTGGCAGTCATCCTGAGGAATTCCTTTGTTCCTGATAATTGACCTGACTTCACTGTCAATTTGAAAATCTGAGTAAAATACATAGTGGGTGTGTGATACAGCAACTGGGGAATAATTTATTCTCTTTTCTTTTTCTTTTTTTTAAAAAATCTATTTACAAAATATATTTTGGTGGCTTAAGATAATATGAAAAAAAGAGTTAATTGAAAAAAATAACAGCAAAAACAATTGAAAGAAATTGAGAGACAATGAAAAGGAAGCCAGAGACAACTGGAAATCCATTTATAGAGACGCTGGAGCACTCCATCTCCCAAGTGGCCACGAATGTAGCATTTTACCTGGTTCAGTTACTTTAAACATTTCTCTCGCTCTCTCAATATAATTTCAAAAATTAGGATATATGCCTGTAGAGGTTCCAAATTCATTTAAGTTTAAAAAGCTATGGGAGATTGTTTTAATTATTTTATAACAAATAAAAATCCCCACTTCTGTTAATAAATTATTCCAGCATTGGATTTGGCCAGCACTAATATTTACTTTACCTAAGCAAATATATGCTAACTGCTAATTACTCATCATTTGCTAAGTACTCATCATTTTACAAATATTACTATTTAGTAGATATTAATCTTAGGAAAATATTTTCTAAGTGGGAGCAAGCAGGTGCAGTTAGGTGATGAATGGGAAAGCTAACTAACCCTGGGTGGGCATTTCTGGGCATTCATCACTGCTCTTCCTCCCTGCGTGGGACCCTCACCACGTTCTCCTCAGCAGAGGCATGGTATAAGGACCGGAGCTGAACCTGAATATAGGATCATTAACTAAAATACCACTCATGTAGGCAACCTTCTGTTAGGAGTGAGCCTTACCAACCACAGATGCTTAAAATGTAAAAAATATTCTTGTTGAAAAGGATATTTTCCCCGGTCTACAAGACAGAACTTTCTGAGACCTGACGCTTGCAAGCAGGTTGTGCTGCCAGTCGCTACCCAAAGCAGAAGACAAGTCATAGGTTCTGAACCAACAAGTAACGAACACAGACTATAACCAGCGGTATTTCCAAATTCTCCCTTCTTTAAAGAATGGAACATCCCCCCAGAATAAAACTCATGAATGTTATTGTGCTCCTCTAACATCCTACTAATCACTCATAGTGAAAAAATAATGGCATCTTAATTTTTCACTCTACGAATCATGGTATTCCCAAATTCACATCTCCCTGTGAGTTGATGGATAACTCTCATTTCTCCCCATTTTCCTTTGTGTAAAACCATCCCTGTTTCTCTACACAAGTCAAGCTTCCAGCAAGAGTGGAAAGAGGATACAACCCTCCAAGTCCACCCAGCATCCGATTCAAGGAATGAAAGCTCGCTGGCTTCGAAATGAACAATAGTGATGCCCTAAAAAAGTTGACCTCACTTTGTGTTTATTAATTGCAAGAAGCTGGTGGCAGAGGACAAGCACACATGATTTATGGCGTTTCTCCGCGGAACCGCAGAACTTTCATCCGAGCGCAGGAAAGGGTGCGAGAGCAGCTTGGAAATTATGCCGAGCTTAATTATACTTAATGTGAATTATTCAGAAGTGCACAGAGACTAAAAATTTATTTCCTACAAAGAAGCTTGACATTTTAATTGGTCCTTCAGAATAGAGACAAAACAATTTCCTCTCAAGAAAATTTACATCTTCCCTATCAGAGCCCCAGCCCCATCCAAGCAGAACTTCATTAACAGGATTAATTATCGCCCCAGAGTGGGCTCCGCCAGGTGTATGGCCCAGGAGAAAAGAGGAAAACAACACAGTGACTGACATCTCCGACAGACAGGACGGACTCAAGGAGGAAGAACGCGGCAGGGCGAGCCACACATACCTTGGTCGTTGGCCATTTTGTCAGGGTGTTCCACTGTGGGGGGGAAAGAAATAGTATTAGATTTTGACAGTTCCCGGCAAGAAAGCTGACATTTGAAGTCAACAGTTTCTGTTAGCAAGTTCTTATATCAAGGCCAATGCCCTATGGAAATAAAATTAATAAGGAATCAAGGTTAATGTAATTACTTCTATTAAATAATTAGAAGGAAAAATGAAAATGTTTTTGTTGTAGAAACGTGTTCTTAAAAATATGTTATTTGTCACATTGTTCTAACCATAAACTCAGAATGATCCTCATACAAGTCTAATTAAAAACACAATAACCATAAAAATGCATGTGATTTCGCCTAGCATAGTGCTCTCTAGGTCCCTTTCTTTTATGTTAATATGTAGACATATGAAAAGGGTAAACTAGGAAAGGTAGCCTAACAAGAAGTAGACTTTGAATTCTGAATGAGTCTTTGAAAAACGCTATACACAAGGGTTTATTACGGTAAAATTCTACAAACTTTATACAAATTTTATAAATGTCTTTGTATCTTCTCAAGATTAACATTTTTTAATTCGGCAGGCTATCTAATCTAATAATGTCTAATCAAATCATTACAATTTAATTTTTGTCTTGACTTTCTCTCCCATTTCTCATTGAAGACTAACGGCACCTCAAAATACATTTTATTACAGTAGTAAGGTGTTTTTGATGACAAGTGCTTTTGATAGGCAACTGAATTAGCTGTACTTTATATTCAGGGCTAGAACCTTAATGCAGCTTTTAAGGATGGGCATCATGTTGTAGGAAGTGCCATGCTGGTTTTCCTAAGAATGGGGAATGATATGCCAGGATCATATGTGACCACACAATCCAGGAAGGGTAAATGTCTGGTAGCCAGAACAGACATGCTTGAGAAACTACCATGCACAGTATCACATATTTAGGGAAGAACTGTTTGCAATGATATAAAACAAACAAACAAACAAACAAAAATTTCATCTCATTTTGATTCATCTCTCCCTTTGTCTTTAATTATATACATGCACTGTCTGTAGTTTCAGCAACTTTTAGCAAGGGACAAATAAATGTTATTGTGGACAATCTGATCTCTATTCTTATCTTCTGGATTTGCTTTATTGTTAGCAAATCTGGGCTGAATATTACTTGGGAAACCTTGAATGACTCGAGGAGGGTTATCTACTAAAGAGTATTTCCCAACAATGACCAAATATATTCTCATAGTTACTTTTTATTAAAGGCAAATAATGGCTTAAAAGTATTGTAATTTGTACCTGGACTTTTTAATGGCTTTTGTCATTTGTCAAGAAAATAATGGATTTTGTCACAAGATTCTTTGCAGACTAAAGCTTTTTTTGTATGGTGGTACAGAGCTTTCAGTTCTATATTTTGGATGGAAGAAGTGCACATTTCAGAATGATGATTAAGGATCCCCGAGAATACACCATAGTCTGCTGCGGAGATGACTCTGCCCCTCCACAGGAATCCTCATTGGTCTACTCCATCCATCCTCCCTATTGACAGGCCAATGGGAAGAAGCTTACTTCACTGGAAGAAACAACCATGTGATAGGCAGAGATAAACATGACTCTTACCCTCCAAGGGTTCAACAGTGTGTAGGTATTGTAACCGGGAGGGTCTGGGGAAGGGAGGTGGCTATTTGCAGAATCCTATGTGGTCAAGAATCAAGTTTCAGAGTCTTTTAATTAACATTTCAAGGAAAGAGTCAGATATATCCCCTATACCATGTACATAAAGGGTATAATAACTTAATCCATTTTTAATTATAAATGTCTCTTTAATTAACCAGTGATTACTAATTGAGCTTCCTGTACCTCTCTGGCTGGTGCCTAAAACCAAAAAGGAATAAAACTCTAGTCTCAAGTAGAAAATATGTCAATCTTACAGAGACTGAATATAAGCCTTAGGGCACCTGCCTAAGGGGCATGATTAGAACAAAGCACTTGCCTGCGACCCAGTAGACTATCTTGAGCTTCCTCAGCTTCAGGACAACAGGCAAACCTTTCTATTTGTCAAGGTTACACTCTGATGATCAGTGGCCTTATGTTTTGAAGCAGCTTTGGAAAATGAAAATCTTAAATCAGAGAGCAATAGTGTGATTTTATGTCTTTAGTGTAAATTTGGTTCACTTGGCTTCAAATCTCTTACGATGAGTAATTTATGTACCTTAGAACATTTGTCATCCCAAGTGACACGTAAGATGCATGCATGTGCAATATCAATTATTTAAAAAGATGGGAGATATAAATATTTCTATATAATTTCAAGTGCACTCAAGACATCTAAAACTCAGTGTACTACATATGAGCAGGATCTGCTTAAAAAAACTTTTAATTGGTTATTAATGGAGCATGCCATACCTAGGGTAGACAATATTAAACATTCCAATCAGGGTATTAGAAATGATTCTTATGGAATATTATGACTTAGAGCAAATTCCTGAATTCCTTCTTAATGCTGAAGATCATTTAATAGATGAGTTTAGGACACTGAGGGTAAACCGTACCAAGTGAGACAGGGAGTTCATTACACAATCCACAGGATGATTATCCATGTGGGCATGTAAATCCTGTGATAACTCATCATTCTGCTGCTTAACACATTTGGATGCCTTAAGTCGTTTTTAAACCCTCTCTGAGATCTCCAGTTGGCATACGTTGTGAGCATGAAATTAATTTGGCACTTGTCCGCAGATAAAGATGAAGCGTTTGTGAGACATTATCGAGTTACATTTCATGCTCCCTCAAAATGAATAACCAGTTTCCTGTCAATTGCTCATTTGGAATGAAACCTGATTTAGACATGAAGTCCTAAAAACCTGGATAGACGAAGATGAGCTCATTTCCTCCTGTCTCCCTCCCAACTTCGAACCTGTCAGTAAGAACCATCACAGGCTGAGGCTGAATGCCTGCTTGTGTGTTCCTGGCAAACTTTCAGATGTGCTATTACCAAATCCAGCTTTTGAATAGCTCGCTCACAGAATTCAAAAGGCCACTGTTTATTAGGCTACCGTCCCTAGGAGAATTGAGAAACAGACTATACAATTTTTTTCTAAAACTCTTCTTCAGTATGTCAAATGACTGGGTGAAAATGTGAGACACGTGCTTCTAATTTTTCAGTTGTTTGCCATCATGTAGTATCACGTTTTCAGCCAGATATAGAGGCATAATGTGGTCAGGTCCAAGAGCCAAGGATCCTTCCTTAGAACAAGACACATCACTCCTTAAAGATCGATCTTTAAATATCAGCTATACAACATTGAAATTATTTTCAATTAATGAATAATAGAGGCCCTTGAAATCATCTGTCCTCCAGAAAAACAATACTCTGCTTTAAAAATGTGTATGAAGATTATTTTGCTGTAGTTACTATTCCTGGGCCTGAGTATTTTTCTATCTTTAACCTGAGTGCTGAACACATAACGATCCTTAAATTGAGTGCTCATTTTCATTCTTAAAAGCATGTGGGTTTTCTTCCAATCATTCTGCAAATTGTTGTCATTGTTGCTGACCTCCCTCTTTAAAATAAACACATTCATTTTGTTTGAGGTTTTCTACTTTGCCATATCAAAATGCCATATCAATTGTCCTTTACTGTATAAGGACAATTGGTCCTGAAAGAAGATATTTACATTTGGCAAGAGTATGCCATTCACATAATCCAATACTTTTTAATTTTTGTTCCCTTACATAAAAATGGCTAGAGTGTTTCATTATATTTCGAATGGAACCAACATATGTGAAATCAATACAAAATTCCTAGGATTATCAGTGAAAAACATCAAGTTGAAATGTCTGCCTTCTGCTGAAGGCAGAAAATGCAGTGATACAGTAGATCTTGCTAAGAAATGCTGGCTTAAGAAGTAAAAGATACATTTTAATTAATTAATTATTTTTCTTATTGTTTTCTAGTTACATTGAGAAATAATTGACATTTAACACTGTATAAGTTTAAGGTGTGGTGGCATGAGGGTCTTATTTACATATATGGTGAAATAATTACCATAAAAAGTTTAGTTAACATATATGCATATGCCCATGGACACAGGCAACAGTGTGGTGAAGGCCATGGGGGCGAGTAGGGACTGGGTGGAGGTGGGCAAAGGGGAGGAAATAGTGTCAACAATAAAACTTTTAAAAAAGGTTTAGTTAACATAAATCATTTCATATAGATAAAATAAAAAATGAAAAAAAATTCTTGTGATGAGAACTCTTAGGATCGACTCTCAACAAAATTCCTCTATATTATACAGCAATGTTAACTGAAGTCATTATGTTGCACCTTACATCCTTAGTACTCACTTATATTATAACCGGAAGTTTGCACCTTTTGTCTACCTTCCTCCAATTTCACTCTCTCCCTATCCCTTGATTCTCATAACAAAAAAATCTGATCTCTTTTCTATGAGTTTGGTGTGTTTTTGTTTGTTTGCTTATCTGTTTTTAGATTCCACATGTAAGTGAAATAATAAAGTATTTGTTTTTACCTGTCTGACTTGTTTCACTTAGCATTATGCCTTCGAGATCTATCCATTTTGTCACAAATTGGAGGAGTTCCTATTTCTTTGTGGCTGAATAATATTCCATTGTGTATATATATACCACAATTTCTTAATCCATTCAACCACTGATGGACATTTAGTTTGTTTCCATGTCTTGGTTTTTTTTAAAAACTGTTCTTATGAGCATGGGGGTGTAAATAGGACATCTAGATAGTGTTTTTATTTTCTTTGAATATATTCCCAGAAGTGGAATTATTGGATGGATCACATAATGTTTTTATTTTCAATTTTTTGAGAAACCTCCATACTGTTTTCCATAGTGGCTGCACCAATTTACAATCCCACCAACAATGTACAGGATTCCCTTTCCCCCACATCATTGCCAGCATTTGTTATCTCTTATGTTTTTGATGATGGCCATTCTAATAGGCGTGAGTTAATAACTCACTGTAGCTTTAATTTGCATTTTAATGCAATTTGAATACCCATGTAGTCATGCTGCCCACAGAGATGGTAGAAGGGAATTCAGAACAATCCCACAGGAAAAGAGAGGCAATAGCAAAAAATGATTCAAACCTTTCAGAGTCCTGAAGAGGATGGGATCAGAGAGGGGCCCCACTCCTTTCACATTTCGCGCTTGAATTCGAAAGTAATACATAGTGTCAAGGTTGAGATCCATGATCTGATGAGTAAGACGATCACCACTGATTGTTTCCATAACCCAGTCATCAATTGGTATGTTCTTGTCCAAGGTATAGAACAAGATGTAAGCTGCATGGATAGATGAATGCAAGCTTTGTTAGTAGCCTGCTCTACCACTGCTTCCAAACATCCATGTTTCCCAAGTGTAATTTGCAATGATTATTATATATCCACAATCTATAAACTACAGTTCTGGGTTTGGCAAGTAATATTTTTTTTTCATATTGCAAGGATTAAATAAGTAATTGCTTCAGTGTGCAGAACCTGAAAATGGAATAAGATAGAAATAAAAAAATATATGTCATTTAAAAATGTGAAGATTCTGCTGGCTACAAATCCTAATTATTGGTTTATTCTAATATATGCATAACAAAATGTGAAACATAGATAACAACTCTGTATAATTTTTACCATATTCCAATAATGAAAACAAGGAGTATTTATTTTGGCTTATGCTTAAATAATAAAAACACACCGAAAAGCATAACATGCCATGCTTGTTTAAAGTGTTACAAAAGAAACGGTGATATACGTTTATTGTAATAACTCTGTGAGGCTGGCAGAAGCACTGTTGCCTCCTTTCACAGGTGATAAAGTTGAAAACGACCCAAGCTAGGGGTAAAAAAACTAGGATAATATTCTCTACTGTTATGCTGAAAATCCAACACTATTTCCCCTAGTCCGTCCCCCCTAGGGAAAAAAAGATAATGTATTTCTGGATAATTGTAGGTTATCTAGTTACTATCTCAGATGTTAATAATCTATCATTGGATAGTATCATTTGCCCTCTGTGTTAGGGGATGTTACTTGAATACTACTAGGGTACTCAGTGGTGATAATCTAACATGCACTCGAGTAAAACCTGTAATATATTAATATTCTAACATTATATTTAGCCGATATGTAAACTAGATTTTATTTAAACAGTAACTCATAATTTTGTATTAGACTATCAGATGAAACTGTACAATAGCTCATCATAGGTATCTTTGGTCTATGACTATAGTGCCAGCCTCCATTTCTGTTAAAATTCTGCACAGATGGCTACATCAGCTAGGCCACAAATGTCCCTAGTTCTATTCTTATACACTGAATATGTTCTTTATAAATCATATTTTTATTTTTATTTTTTAAAATATATTTTATTGATGTTTTTACAGAGAGGAAGGGAGAGAGAGATAGAGAGTTAGAAACATAGATGAGAGAGAAACATCCATCAGCTGCCTCCTGCACATCTCCCACTGGGGATGCGCCCGCAACCCAGGCACACGCCCTCGACCGGAGTCGAACCTGGGACCTTTCAGTCCGCAGGCCGACGCTCTATCCACTGAGCCAAACCGGTTTCGGCTATAAATCATATTTTTAAAAACAGCAGTCTTTGATCGACTGGTTCCTTCCTTTTGAGTCCTGCTTATCTTGTTGGGATTGGGGACCCTCATACATAGATCTTTTGTATTTATATCACAAGGTTCTTTGACTCAGATCCACTGTCCTCCCCCAATAACCATGCACACTACCTACATGAAAACACACACACTTCCTCCTGGTGGACTGCAGTGAGGTCTCCATACTATGTTTGTTCCCACCTACGACGTATTCTTCACTCTTTCAATCCAAATTCTACCCATCCACCAAGGTCTAGTTCAAGCTACATCTAACATATAAAACCTTCCTCTATAGTGAGAAATTTTTTGTAGACTATGCAATACACTTCAGTAAAGTAAAAGAACATTTATATAATTTTTAATCATTTGTCACTTAATGCCATATTTAACCTCAATTATACTTGGGTTTGGAGGGTCCCTCTTTCCATCCAAATTCTACCCATCCACCAAGGTCTAGTTCAAGCTACATCTAACATATAAAACCTTCCTCTATAGTGAGAAATTTTTTGTAGACTATGCAATACACTTCAGTAAAGTAAAAGAACATTTATATAATTTTTAATCATTTGTCACTTAATGCCATATTTAACCTCAATTATACTTGGGTTTGGAGGGATGCGTTCTAAACAATGAACTAGATCTGTCTTCCTTGTGATTATGCAGGATTAAGAATTGTTGCAAAGCCCTAACCGGTTTGGCTCAGTGGATAGAGTGTTGGCCTGCAGACTGAAGGGTCTCGGGTTCGATTCTGGTCAAGGGCATGTACCTTGGTTGCGGGCACATCCCCAGAAGGGGGTGTACAGGAAGCAGCTGATCGATGTTTCTCTCTCATTGATGTTTCTAACTCTCCCTCTCCCTTCCTCTCTGTAAAAAATCAATAAAATATATATTTTTTAAAAAAGAATTGTTGCAAATTCCAAGATCCAGAAATCCATTTCTCTTCAATTCAGATCAATGATAAAAACCTACATCTCTTTTGCTTTAGCTTTCACTTTTCACCAAGTTTAGTGCTTCCCAAATCTGCCTAATTGTAAGAATTACCTGGTGACTGGGTATAAGTTACAAAACATAGGTCCCAAGAAAGGGCATTTAGATTTAATAGGTGTAGCAGACAGAGTCTTAGCCCCCCAAATACTCCCATCTCCTGGTAGTCACACTTTTTTGTAAGCCTTTCTGTCTGAGCATAACCAATAACACACAGCAAATATGATGAACGATCACTTCCATGACTGTGTTACATGAGACTCTAACTTCCACCTTGCTAGCAAACTCTCTCCTATGTTGGCTTTGATGGAACAAGATGCCAGATGGCGAGGAACACATGGCAAGGAACTGAGGATTGGCTCTGATCAATAGCCAGTAAGAAACTGAATCCTGCCAACAACCACAGGAATTGGAAGCAGATCTTTTCCCCAGTCAAGCTTCAGATGAGACATCTGTCTAGTCTAAAACCTTGACTGCTGCCTTGTATGAGCCCCTCAGGCAGAGTACTCAGTTAAGCTGTGCTTGGATTCCTGACCAATAGAAACAGTGAGAAAATGAAT